GCATGGCTACCTTTGAGCACTGGCCTTGTACTCAGAAGGCGGTTAGTATCCTGAGTCAATGCAGTGAACAGAATTCACAGTATCACCTATATTTTTCCTCTCCAGTGAATGCTGGTGGTAGCATATATAAAATACTTAATACATTTTGGTGCTTCCATGTACTGCTCGATGTATAGACACGAATCAATGAGAAATCACCTCTCCATTCTACTTATATTTCTTCATGGCTCTCAGTTGGTAAGAATCACAATTTCAACAGAACGGATGCACAAGAAATGGCACTTTTTGTCACCAAGAGATTTCTAGGGTGTCTTTCTCCAGCTTCAGAGAAGCAACGTTGCCACGGGCAGATCCTCAAACAAACCACGTGCTTTCCTACCACCGGTCGTCTTCATCAACACTAGTCCCTACTCTTCCTTCTCTGCCTGGACAATCTTCATTCATTCACTCTTTAGGTCTCAATGGTCACTTTCTCTTAGGAGCCTTCTCTAAACCCCCACGTCTGAGTTAATTTGCTACTCCCCACCCGTTAATTACATGTTTGAACTTGTCTCTCTCAAAAGTATGAGAACTCAAGGTCCATGTCTACTTTGTTCTCTACTCCAGGCTGAGCACCACTCCGTGGTATACTTAGATCAGGCACTCAATAAGAACTGACATGACAGACATGCACTGTTTATAAGAACCTCTGACCGTCTGAAAAGTGAGGAGGTTCAATCATGGCCTCCTCTACCTTGAGACCAGAACTAGATGGTGCCCGACTGCCATTATTGAACGTTCCGGTCATGGTCACAATATATGGATCCTGATAGAAAGGGGAAAAAATGTGGAACAAAACTTCAGATTCTCAAAGAATCGAGACTTACTGGATCCATTGAGACTGGAAGAATCCCTGAGACTATTGCTCTTCAACTAAATAGCAGGCTCACGCAAAATGTAAAGAATTTCATTGTTGAGAACTGTGCTCTTTTAAAAAATTATCTATATGAGATCAAATGGACAATGGCTACTCTAAAGCACAGATGAAAGTTTAGGGGGCAGCGAGACTAAGTTAATGGGAATGGAACAACGAGAAAGGAAATAATGAGAATGTTGACATAAACTGAAGAATATAACCAATGTCACAGAACATTATGTGTAGAAATTGTTGAACGGGAACCTGTTTTGCTGTGTATACTTTCATCAAAAATACAAAATTTTTTTTTTTTTTTTTAAAGTGAGGGAGTTCAACTAGAAAAACCTTTCAGAAAAGTGATTAGAAAGGCTTTAAAAGGAAGACGTGAACCTCTGTGTCAGCCTTAGGGGGTACACCCAAAGATGTTCCTTTCAGAGATGACCTGCTGTGAGGAGGGTAGTCAGCTGAGAGCCTCCAGCTGCTGTGCCTTTGGATTCCACCACGTGATCCATGGGTTGCTCCAGCCAATAACTGAGCATGGTGGGCACCAGAGCCCGGCCACTCCCGCTCAACACAGGACTCCTCTCACAGGCAATCTTTGCTCTGGGGTTCTCCACCACCTGGGCCAAGACTTTCTCAGAGCTACCTGGAGTCAATCCTTCTATCTTCCTTGTCTCCTTTCACAAGTATCAGACCTGCATCACGGACCAAACACCCTTTGTGCTGACTCCTGCTCCTTCTCCCCTTTATCCTTTATGGACAGTTCCTCACTCCAAAAACGCTTTCACTGATAACTCCATCTTGGCATCTGCCTCTCAGAGGGTTCTAAATGACCAACTGCCAAGTACGTTTGGCTGCTACAAGCAGATGACTCATTGGTGTTTCAGCTGAAGAAACATGTAAGATCATTCCTATTTAAAAAACAAAAAACAAAACCTACTCGCTTAATGAAAAATTAATATTCTAATATATGACTCCCATAGCTTTAGAAATAAAGACAATTCTGAACTGCAACAGAAATCTTTATTGATTTTTCCCTTTACACATCTCTATCATCATTCTCAAGCTGGAGACCCTGTGAAGGGCACAATTATTTATGTTCCATTAAATTAACAGGTCATTCAAATCCCTCACAAGCCCTTCAACTAAAAATGCTTCTAGTTCCAACCAAAGTTTCTTTTTTTTTCTATTTCAAACATCCATTCTCTTTTGGAAAAATGACAGAAGCGCTGAGGGTTAACAAATTGGAAAATAGTAACAGCCCAAGAACTGAGTGTAAATACCACATTTCCAAGACACAGCCCTAATCCTCTCTCTTCCCAACCTGTGGAGGCAAAACCTGAATTGAGACCTGAAAGCATGACAGGGAGACACCATGGCCAAAAGGTGAGGGAAGGACTTCCCGACAGTAAATAGCAAGTGCAAAGGCTGGGAGGGGTAACACACTGGGCAGCCTGAGGAACAGCCCGGCAGTCACTTCGTCTCTCTGCCAGGTCTATGAGGGCTGGCCTGTGCCTGTGATCACACTGAGCAGATTTTTGCTGTATAAGTGAACTTCTTTTGAAGATAATTATTTTTTGCCGGTTTCCTCTGACTTCCCAGCTAGATAGCAGGGCTGAAACCACATCCTGCGCATCTCTGTAACCCTCCCAGCTAAAGTCTCCCTAGTGTAAGCCAGGTAAAGTCTCCCTAATGTAAGAGGCTCTTGGAAGGTGTGATGGTTAAGGTTGTGAGTCAACCTGGCTGGGCCATGATTCTCAGTGGTTTGGCAGTTATGAAGTAGTCTAGCAGCTCTATCATGATATAATCACCTCCATAATGAGATCTGATATAATGCAACCACTTCCATAATGGGATCTGTTATGAGCAGCCAATCAGTTGAAAGGAGTTTCCTTAAGGGTGTGACCTGCATCCAATATAGGTGGACTTCCTGACAAGGCTCACGGGCTTTTGCTCTCTCTGGATCCTGCAGCTGGCTCCTGTTCCTCTGACCTCCAGTTCTTGGGACTTGAGCTAGCAGCTTACCTGCTGATCTTGGGATTTGTCAGTTTCTGCAGCCTGTGAGCCAGAGGCCTGCCATCTTACCTGTTGATCTTGGGATTTGTCAGCCTCTGCAGCCTATGAGCCAGAGGCCTGCTGTTTGATCTGCTGATTTTGGGTTCTCCAGCTCCTGCAGCTACGTGAGTCAGGAGAAGCCTCCAGCCTCACCCATGGACTTGGGACTTTCTAGCCTCTACAACTGCATGAGCCATTTCCTTGATATAAATCTCTCTCTACATATATTTATACTCTTCACTGGTTTTGCTTCTCTAGAAAACCCAGCCTAAGACAGACGGGAACTCTGGCTGATGAGGAAGGATAATACAATTATGCCATCACATAGCTCATGGACTGAAGGATTACTATGCAGCGAGTTTCCTGAGAACTGGGGATCTGGGGGATAAAGAAAGGCTTACCTTACCATATGGAAGCGCCTTCAACTATCATCATGGAACAAGGATGCACAGATCTACTGAAATGCTATGGCTGGTAGAGTGCTTCCTCTCTTGTTGCAAAATAAGTACCTGTTTGCAAGAGTCTAGAATTCTTCATGGTGTGTTTGTTTTCAAAAAGGCAACGCATTTGGTAAAAGAGGCAGAGAGTAGGGGTTAAGTAAGATACAGCCACCATTCGCTATATTTCAAAACCCAAAAGTCATAATCTACACTATGGGTTGGGATTTCAAGAAAGTGTTTAATTACCTGGGTGTTCAACGGGATCTTATGGGAGAGGAGCTCAGTGTACACGATGCATTGCCTACAATCACAGCTTTCCTTGCACTTTTGAGGCTGCCAGGGTACAAACACAAATCTCTCTCCCCCCAGAATCAACACCGCCACCGACACAAAAAACAAATGAATAGTCAAAATAATTTCTGATAAAGGTGTTTTGTTTCCTAGGGGAACATTTATAGTAACACCCACTTCTGTTAAATACAATCTACTTTCCAGCTCAGTGTGAGGGGCTTCCTTCACAGAAACACACTAAAATTGAAAATTGGGCAGATGCAATGGAAACTCCCTGAAATGAAAACCTGGGGTGTTATTAGTCACCCTATTTGCCTGCATTCACTGGGCTTATTATTGTTACCTGCTGCATTATCAAACAATTGTGAGAGCGGAACGATTAATCCACAATCCTATTTGCTTCTATCAAACAATGACAACTGGTTTTCGTTTCCCTGGGAGAGACGGGGAAAGACGTTTGTTCAGCTCTACAGAGTTGGCTATTGTCTAAAGACAACCCTCCAAAAAAAGGTGTGAAGACATTTTATTGCAGCTGTGGAGATTAAGAGGAGATTTATGATGGCTCCTAATGCTATTTCTGTCAACGTCATTGGAATTCTAATTAGATTATTAAAACTTTGCAAATCATTACATTACACCCAGACTCCACAGCTCACTGCGGCAAGGGTACTTTTGAAATTAGAGGAACCTGATGTCATAGGTAATGATGCATTGTCGATAATAAAGTTGCAGAGAAATTTCTCCAATAAAAACCAGTTGGAAAAGACAGAACCCATTTATCTTACTTTCTCTCCCACTGTTACGCCTGAGGGGAAGACGGCTGCTGCACAGAACCACGGCCCAGCCTCTTCCATCCCAGTACTTGATAATGCTTGCTTACATGCTACAAACGTTAACGAACTGTCGCAGCTACTTAAATTTTTTTAAGCCGCTCCCTAAATCTGAGATGCAAAACAAGAAATTTATAAATGAAAAGAAACTTGAAAGAAGAATATTTTTAGAGGGGTATGAGACAAATGGCAGCCTCCAAGCATCTACTATGCATATGAATGGTACATCATAGCATATTTTGATTTATAACACATGCATTCAAAGTGGTACCTGAAAAGGAACAAATTGCTTACTGCTAACCCAGATCTATTTGCAGGTAACAAATGGGCCTGCTCTTTACCCATCAAATAACGGTTTGAACGCCCTTAAACATCAGTGGATGAGGCATGGGTGTTGCCCTCTGTCCTCTTCAGGATCACCCCACTCCTTTAGGCGGAGATCCTCACCCTCTGCATCCCAGCAAAAGGAAGCGTACATAGCTTACTTACCATGATGTACGACGCCCTTCAACCCGTGGATAATAGGATCCAGTGCAGAATTGTCCCTCGGACTGACCTATGTGTAAAGGAAACATGATTGGTTAAATCTATTCTGGCATCAGACACAACAGTCTCTGTTTAATCTTCTAAAGACAAGGGGGAAAATAGATGTTATCTAGCAAGCTGCTTAGGTGTCACGTATACCATGGCTCGCACCAAATGCAGGAGATTTATGACATAATAAAATCAAGTGAGGAAGTCCAAATCAAAAGAAAAACTTCTCAGAATACATTACAACAGGAGAAATACCATCGTCCTAGCAAAATCTTAAAAAGCAACCACAAGACTTTCCTCCGCTTTGTTTTATTAAAAAGAGGCCCTGATGGGCTAAAAAGTCACTGAAAGTCATCAGAAAGCAATCCATCACTGGCCGAATATTCCAATACTTCCACGTGATTGTGTTTTTCCCTTCTTTCTAGAAAATGGATCTGCTCCCTGCCAGCCTATTCTCTTTCCTAAGGGTCCCAGTTCCCTGTGTCTCACCACAGACTATAAGGGGTATTCCTACTGAGAGAAGGAGAGAGGGGAGCTCCAAGACGCAGCGTCTCCTACTTTCATTGCCTTCTGGGGTTTTATTGCCACAAATACCAAACCTCTTTTATCTTGATCCCACCCAGCCTTTCCCTTAACTTTCTGACACAACTCAGCAGAAATCCTCATTCTTCTCCTTTCTAGAAGATTAAAAATGCACCATTACACTGTAATTATGGTTTATAAGTACTTTCTTTTAGACATATAATGAAATATTTACAAATGAAATGAAATGACGCCTGTAATTTGCTGTAAACTAATCCAGGAGTGAGTGGGGTGTAGATGCATCAAGACTGGCCATGAGTCAATAATTTTTTGCTTTGGGTGATGGGTATGTGACGGTTCACGATATGATTTTCTCTACTTCTGTGTATGCTCGATTTTTTCCAAAATAAAGATTTTCCCAAAGTCCATTATCTGTGGTCAGCATAGCTCTTGATTTTTTTTCAGGGATGTTACTTATATCTAATCTACTAACATAATGAAATTGAGATACTGATAAGCCTTTCAATGTGTAGCAAGATCCAATTTGATGTTTCCAAGTTAATTCAGAGGAATTTAGGGCCATTCCTAGGGTAAATTTTAAGGTGATTAAAATTTTTCCACACCCCTTCCTCCCTTACAAATTCTTCCTGTTGGGTTGCTGCTCCTGGTTTCCTCTGACAATGATCCATAACTCATACATTTCCTTCTCTCCTCTGCCTCAAGGTTAGACCAGTGGTTAGCAACTAGGGTCACTTTGTCATTCCCCTGCAGGGGACATTTGATGACATCTGGTGACATTTTTGGCTGTCATAGCTGAGGGAGGTTTGAGGATAGAGGTTGGGGAAGCTGCAAAATTCATATAATGGTCAGGACATGCCCCACAACAAAGGATTATTTGGCTCAAAATGTCAATAATGCCAAAGTTGATGTTGAGAAACTCTGGGTGAGTTGTTGTATGTGTTAATCGTCATTAAAACTTAATGTCTGGAGCCCTGAGTTACGACTAAATTCAGAAGACAGGTGTCATTATGCACTGTGTCATGTTTACAGACTAATAAAATGATGTGGAATTTGGCACGACACTGTAAACACTACAAGTATAAAAATAAAAAAGGATCAGTGAATAGAAACCCAGTGTATCAGATCACAAAGCTGTAATTCCAGGAGTTTGCATGAGTGTAACTTCAAAGTGCCTGAACAGAAGCTCAAGCCAGAGTCTACCACAATGGTTGAAGAATGAAACATTCTTGAACGACAAACATCCGCAGAAAATACCAAATCTAAATTGTATTCAAAGAAAAATCGTATTTGTACCATAACAAATAATTGATCAAAACGAAAGCCAATGACCAAACAATGGAATCACAATTCAAGAATCAAGATAAGACAGCTTACTAGTAAATCTGTCCAAAAGTCAAAAGTAATAGAATAAAACAAGAGTCCAGAGAAAGATCCCATATCAAATTGAAGTTGTAGGCAAAAAGATGGTCTTCCTCCTCCTTGATTCAGTGTGGTGGAGATGTTCATGCCAGCTTAACTCCCTGTAGTTACTTTAATATCTATGGGAGATGACAAAATGGCCACAAATTCCTCCTATCCCTGTCATATGCACCTCTGCAATTTGACTTTGCTGCTCATCTCATCCTGTCAAAGAGTTTATATCAGTTTTTCTACACTTTAAAACTGTGCTTGGCCATGTGACTTGCTTTGGCCAATGAGACATTAGTGAACATGATGCAGACAGAGGCTCACAAAGCATCTGAATACAGTTTTATCCTCTTGCTACTCTTTGGAATTTAAAACCACGAGTGAAGAAGCCCAGTCATGGCTACTAGAGGATGAGAGAAGCCATAGAGCTGACATAAGCGATCCCAGACAAGGTCATTCTAGACCCAGTGTCCTACCAACAACTACAGAGATGAGTGAGTCTATTCTAGACTACCTAGCCTCAGGTGAATCACCTGCAGTCTAAAGAGATCAGCTGAGCAGGCCCAGATCATAAGAACCAACCAGCCAACCCACAGAATCCTAGACTAATATACTGCTTATTATACTATTGTTTAAACCAAGTTTGGGGATCATTTGCCATCAAACCAAAGAACCAAACCCATTGCCGTCGAGTCAATTCCAACTAATAGAGACCCTATGGGACAGAGTAGAACTGTCCCACAGGGTTTCCAAGGAATGGCTGATGGATTCGAACTGCCAGCCTTTTGGTTAGCAGCTATAGCTCTTAACCACTACGCCACCAGGGCTTCCATTTGCACATAGCAAAGGTTAACTGCTATAGTATTTATGTGTGTGTAAGCGTGGAGGATGGGGAACAGGTTTTGATATCATTAATTTTCTTAACCAATATATACTGCTTATGATTTATCTTAAAGGTTGTTCAGTGAGATCTCACATTAAAAGATGCAACATTTGCTGTCTACCTAATCAACTCATGTTCTCATTCAAAATTTTGTTATCCCTCTTCTAATACGGCAACTTTTCAGATACTGTGATCTTCAATCTCAATTTTGCAGAGAGAGATTTTGTAGTCAGGGAAACCCTGTAATGCATTTAATCTTACCTAATGATGTAACGGCTCAAGGAAAGTGTTCTAATCCTCCATGAATGAAACCCAAAGACAACATTTGTACCCCATGCAAGAGGAAAATAACCAGGCAACTTAGTCGAGGTTCAACTTCTGGTCACTTCTAACTACAGCAGCTCTGTGCCCGATTACTAAGGTCTAGCCTAAGGGTCTAACCTCAGATTCTAAGCAACTCAGAAATGGAAAGCCTATACAATACCTCATTCACCTCCAAAGCCTCCTTTGCTAGTTTATATGGCTTAGGTTGAGAAGGTAGATAAGAGGTGTTCTAGCAGAATCCAAAACTAAGGAGCATTTGGGCTGGGCTCACAACAAGGAATTAATTCACATTGATTTCTGGCAAGCAAAGTGGGGAGTGAGGGGTAATTAGCTAACATACACGTTCTCAGAAAACGTTAAGCAAAAATGTTCCAGTAATAGTATGTTAAAATTGTTCTTGGAAAAAAATAGTTTGTACAGACTGTTCTCAGGAAGTATGTGGCTGATCAGATATGAAGAACGAACTGCTTTGTTATGCTAGAAAATGTGCATAAAAACCCTTCTTTGCTTAGCCCCTGTGGAGCACTTTGTACTTTCACTTACTGTGGCCCAGCTTGAGCTGTACTCTTCCTCAATAAAATTCTTGGCTTTTTTAATCTTTACAGAATAAGAATTTTGGTTTGAGCACTACAACATTTCTGGTGTCAGACGCAGGCTATTGAAGGTGCATTATCTTTCCCAACCTCCAAGACACTGAGGACTTGGGCTCTGGTACCAGCTAAGCTGTTTGGGCTCTCCGCTTCCACAAATTCTCAGGAGTTGTCTTAAGGTAAATAAACTTTTGAACCTGAGCTCCGCTCTCTTGTGTGGTAGCTCTTCGAGTTCTGTTGTTGGATTTGTTCTGTGTGTGCACATCTTGTATGTCTGCTGGAAATATGGGGAATGCCAAATCTAGGAGCAGCTCAGAGCCACCCTCTGGGACTTCTGCTCACTATGTGAACAAGCATTTTGGTCCCACAACGTGTGGGTTCTTGTCTGGCTGGCATAACCTTACCAGAGACAGTCTGTAAAATCAGTGGCCAACCCAGAGGACTCTGAGGGTCTTCTGACCTTCTGGTTTTTCTGTACAGGAAATTAGAAAATAGAGGCTCTCAAATTAAACAATCTCAATGAGATGCCTATTTTGACTGGTACCTTGAAGCTTCTAAAAGACTTCAAGATAATAAAATAGCTTTGCTGTAGGACACTATAGCCAAATTGACCAAAGAAAATAAGAAATTACAATGCCAAAATTTGGCTCCTGCCCGTCTACACTATTCCCAGCTCCTACTTCTTTGTATCCTTTGCTGCCCTCTTATTCTTCTGACAACACTCTGTTTGAACTCCTGCTCTTTCTAAAAAGGACAGCCAATAATCCTTTGTCTACAATGCCCTTTAAATTCACCCCAGCAGTGCTCAATGCTGAATCCAAGAAAGTAGCTGATTTTCCTAGTGGAAGTGGATATATGGCCAAGAAATATGGGCCTAGGTCTTGTTTGTTCTTGGATTTTTGTTTGAGCTCCCTAATGACAGTTTGTTAAATGAGTGGCCACTTTTGGGTACTTTCCAATTGGAGAAACTAGTATGTTTAAGGTCTAAAATAAGAGTCTAGATGTCTAGCTGGCAGAATGAATTAGGTTCAGAAAGAATGAAACCAGGTTTTGTATAGTTGTTACGAAGGAATCCCAGAGTTTTAAAGCCACAAAAATGTGGGCATGGGTTTGAGCATCTTAAAAGCCTCTAGGATGCTAGCCACTGACATAAAGACACTTGTGAAAGGAAAGACACCCTTGAAAGGGACATGAGATGGGCTAGAGCATTAAGCTGCCCACCAGCCACAAGACACCTCTCATGCAGTAAAGGCACACTGTGAAACAAAACACTGA